GATGGTTGCTTGGTGATGATGCTTGCGTGGTGATAGCTGCTTGGTGATGATGTGTTCATGGTGATGGCTGCTTGGTGATGATCACTAACAGTGCAAGACGATATGTCACATGCACGTAGGGTTTCTAGCGGTTCAGGGGTTTAGGGCCTACCCTAGTCGTCCTGAACCCTTCGCCCGCTTGTAGGTTGGCCCAGCAGGGGGAGGGTGCGTGTGCCTGCGACCACGTCCTCCTACTGCTGTCGTTTCGCTCGTTACGTGTTCGTTTCCTCTATAGACTTTATAATTGCAACATAAGGGTGCCCGCGAAATAGAACGCCATTAAGCCCCCCCCCCACCCCACCCCTCCCCTCCCCCCTTAAAGAGCAAGCAGAGCACATGACGGAAAACGGCACAGACAGAAAAACACAGAAAGCGCTCAGCGCTGGATAGCACAAAACAGGGTTTCCGAAAGTCCGGAATACAACACGCAGGCCACACTTTTCGATCTTTGGACCAAGTCGCAACCAAGAACGCACGACAAAAACTCACATGAGTTTTCGTGCGTTTTACAAGCCAGCGGAAATGAGACCGAACCCTCGGCTACGAAGAGCGCAACATCTGGAAAAGTGCGAAAGCCTCGCGCAGGACAGTGTTTTCCAAATGAGGAAAAAAACAGTACTGAAGGAGAGGGGCATGCAAAAGCACAGAAACAGCAGCAACACCACCCCGGAAAGTGAACCCGCTAGGGATTTAAGGATTGTCGGGGTTGCCTGCAAAACGTAAGTTTACAGCAGGAGTTGAGGATTTGTGGTTTAAGGGTTTCGGGACAGAGGTGTCGAAGAAGGTTTTAGATAAGGTGGTCTTGGTCTCAAGGTTTCTTGGAGCGGGGGCCCCCGTCAGAATACACTTAAATTGAGGAAGATCTAGCGCGAAACTTCTTCATGGATACAGTGGGGACAAGTATTGCGAGTACAAAGGGCGCAGGTCGAGGCATCAGCTTAGCTTGCGCGGAACCTGAGACCGTCTGTCCTTCTGAAGGCTATTTGGGATTCATTGCTGCCTCCTGCTTGCAGTCCATGGTCACGTCACTCAGGGACTTTCGATCCCGCTCCATGGAAATCTTCCTTGGCTGCGCGTAGGCAGAGTGGGAACATTAGGCTCAAGTTGCTCGGGTCCAGGTTGGGATTGAATTTCATGTCGGTGTGGCTTCGTGCATCGCTAAGGGAAATTGAGGTCCTAGAGAGCTCGATACCCGTATACACCTTAAACTACATGGGCCGTCCTGTTTTGCTTTCAGGTACATTCCCTCAGGGAGGGGTAGTGGGCTCGCTGGGTACCCAGCGTAAACACGACGCCAACAGGATCTAGACCCTAAACCCTAAACCCTAAAACCCTAGACCCTGGAGCACAGGCATGTCATTCGTCACATTGCAACTTTCTACCAGGTTGAGGGTTTTGACACTCACGCTCTGACAAGCCTGGCAAGGTCTGGAGCGCGGGTTTAGGGGTGTAGGGTTTAAGGTTTTGGTTCAACCAGTCAGAAAGTACTTGGCACGTGTGTGGGCTGTCAGGCGGGGCTAGGGACGTGACAAACACAGGTGCACAAGCATACAGAGCAGCCTATCTGACAGCAGCCCTCCATCAAAGCAACCGCTTGCCGCTTAACACCCAAAAGACCAGGTATAGGGCTTCGCGATCACTTGGATACCCAGGTGCCTTAACTTTGACACTTCTGAATCTCGACCCCACCCAGACTCAGTTGGCGCCGTGTGTCGTCTGTTGCAGATCCTTCTCCGACTCAGCTTTGATGCGCGACTGGTCAGCCTGACTCTTCTTGGCCTGTCAGCTGCGAGATACCCCTTCTTTCAGGTTAGGGTTTAGGGTTTAGGGTTAAGGGTTTAGGGTTCAAGAAGGTTTTATCGAGCTCGCATACCAAAAAAAAACATGCACCCTACGAGAACCCCCCACACAAACCTACAAACCTACAAACCCTAAACCCTAAACCCTAAACCCACTGGTTAAAAGAAGGAGTTCACAGGTCGGCTGCGCCTTCTCCATTGCCGCCTTGGCGAACTTGATCTCCTTGTTTTCCCCAGCGCCCAAACCCTACATGTTAGGGGTTGAGGGTTTAAGGTGTAGGGTTTTTTTCTACAGGGTCTTTCCAAGTCCCAAGGGCTTTGAAAGAGTTCTCCTAGTGTTTGTGTTAGTTCCTTCCGCTCCCTTTCAAGGGCTGGCTACTTAAAGGATCACGGGACTTAGGAAGTAGGGTTGTAACTAAGGTGACTATACTTATAACCCCAATTAGGGGACTTATAACCTTACTTACTAAGACCCATGATCCTCCAAGTAGTGGAGAACCGAGCCTTTTGAAACCGGACTTGATGACTGCCAGCATTGCCTCAGCTGCCCCGTTGGAGAACCGAGCCTGAACTCTGAACCCTCTGAACCCTGAGCCGCAACACCCCTCCCACCGAAACTCCTCTTATTAAACCCCTCAGCCCCTCAACCTCCACCCCCTCAAACCCTAAACCCTTTTTTGCACAGGCTTGCGTTAATCCCGCCTGGAAACCCTAAACCCCTAAACCCTAAACCCTAAACCCTGAATCCTAAACCCCCAAACCCCCTCACCCTAAACCCTAAACCCTGAAGCAAGTCTCGTCGGCCAAGGACTGCGAGACCATCTCGAAGCTGTGCTTGGCCTCCGTCTCCTGGCGTCGGCTTAGGAAGTTTCGGGTCACAGGGGGTCCTCTTTTTTTGGAGTCTATGGGTCTATGTTTGGGTTTGAGTTCAGGTTTGGGTTTAGGTTTTAGGGTTTAGGGTTTAGGGGTTTAGGGGTTTAGGGTTTAGGGTTCTACAAGGAGTCGGCTACAAGTTCTTTCAGTGCCCTTTAAGCGTTGATACTTCTGGCTGAGATCTGAAGTGGCGAATGAACTTCAGTCCCAACGCACGGAGGCCTCACCCGTCCCAACAACCGTCTTGTGCTTAGTAGGGAATGGGGGAATGGGTTATAGGGACTACTATAAGGGATCTTAAGGGACTATCATAGGGATCCATTCCCCCATTCCCTACTAAGCACCAGACAGACAATCGAGCTCGGCAGTTCTTTCGAGTTTGGGCCTTTCGGCTCGGATCTTGTCTGTCGCCGCGGCGCTGTTGGCTCGCTCTCAACTCCTAAAGCTTTAGAACTGAATGGACCGTCGGGGCGTGAGGCACCACACAGTCGCTAAGCACTGGGAAGTTCATACTTCGGAGCTTCAGGGTTTAGGGTTTAGGGTTAGGGTGGGCTCCTATATTCGCTCAGTCGAGTATTTCCGCGTCCTGGTGTGGTGGCTTTTACAAGGCATCTACGGCAGCCAGTGCCTCTGCTTCCGACACGCCCGACGAGAACAGGCTGACCTTTACCCCGATCTGAGGCCACTTCTTGACCAAATCAGCGTAGGCCGGCAGGGTGAGCACCTGGCCTGCGTGCTGTTTGATGAACGAGAGACAAGCCCTTTCGAGCTGCTTCGCCTGAAGCAGAGGCGCTTGGCAGAGGATGCCACAGACCTCTTCAATACTGATTTCCTTGGCAAGCATGGCCTCGCACCACAGCTGAAGCCTCTTGACCTGATACTTGTGACTCACGGCCAAGAGCGCCTGACTCTGCGACAGCTGCAGGCCACCACTCTCATTCCCCGAATTCCTTGAGGTGGCGCTCCAAAGGAGGTTCCCTGCATCCGGCAGGCAATCGGTGTAGATGAACTGCAGGAAGGCCTTGAACGTGAGGACATCACAATCCTCGATCACGATGACTTTCGAACAGCTTTCGAGCATGCCTGCCGTCAGCTGCCTGGCGAACACCTCGGATCGTGCACATAGAACCTGAGAGTGCCTGTATCACCTCGCCCCGCACCATGAACCTTATGTCGCTGCACTTGCCTTCCTCCAAGAGTGCCTTTGTGTCTTGGCTCATCGTAGGCTCGGGAATCTCTGCGGCAAGCGATAAGGGCTGCTTTCTTGCGGGTTCACAGGGACGGACTTCCAACTCGAACTTCACCGTGAGGTTGCCGTCCTCCACCCACTCGGAGCGCAGCAGCTCCTCATGGCTCAGCCCGAAGATGCCCAGAGAAGCAGGAGCATGCCCGGGCCAATGCACATCCGGGCCGTAGGCAGCAGCCGAAGGCCAGAATCTCTCATCGGAGCCGGGATGAACAACGTCGCGCGTCTCGCCCCACTGCACGAACTCACCGCTCTGTGCCTTGATGTAGATGCGATACCGAAGTGCGATGCGTTCACACGTGTGAAGCTCTATGGCAAGGGTCCCATGATGCTGCGAACGCAGATAGCCTCCCCACGGGTTGTAGAGAAAGAACACTGTCTGATTGGCAAAGTAAAATCTCGAGGTCACACGGTCCTCGCGCAACTGCTCGAGCGCGCATGGCACCCAGGAAATCTCTTCGATTCTCCATACATATTCTCCCTTAGCCACCATGTCCCCGAAATTCGCGCTTTCGCCGCCAGTTGCTTGCATCACATGTTGAATTTTGGGTCGGCTTCCGCCCTGCGCCGAGTGGCCTCGATCTCGGCCCGGAGCTCTTCGGCGGACATCTCCCCTGCGATGGCAGATGGCAACGAGGCCACTCTCCCCAAGAGCTGCAATGCAATCCTTTATAGTATATGTAACAAGGAACCCTACCAATAATATTGGTCATTCTTTAGGCTTCTATATTAGGGGTTTAGGAGAGCTCGAGATGGAACTGACTGCCGTGGAGCCATGTGTGACTGGTCGAAAATCGAAACCCTGGCCCGCCCCCCGCCGTTTCTAAGGAGCGCTGGACATGCGACCCCCAGGATTTTTAGCAAGATGCGTTAAAAGGTAGAGCCTTACCCATACGCCCCATACTAGTTCCTTTTTGGGATTACCTTATAGGATTCTAAAAATGAACCCCAACAAGGAACTACTATGGGGCCTATATGGGTAGACCTCAAAGCCACAATACCTGGTCTACAGATAGTTACCTGGGGGCTGGCGAAGACTGCAAGTAGGTCCCATGCGAACGTGTAATAGCCGTATCTCAACGTCCCACTCAATCGACGAAACCTAGACAAAGTCTCGGAGCAGGCATGAAAACTGGGTTTCAGGGCGCAGGGGGCTGTCAGGATCAAGGGCTTAGCGTGTCGGGCTTCAGGGAATACGTACCTTAGACCCTACAGAACCTACCGTTTCGAAAACTCGATCTCGGAGGGTTCACCCTAAACCCTAAACTTTGCCCTAAACCCTAAACCCTAAACCCTAAACCCTAAACCCTAAACCTTAAAGGTTTTTTGGCCGACGTGCAAGGATCCCAATCGCGACAAGAGTAAGGTTGGCTTTCCCAATACCACAAGCAAGAGTTGAGACTTTCAGGCAAGTACAGGGACATGAGGGTTTAGGGTTTCTAGGGTTTAGGGTTTAGGGTGAGAGCCCCAGTAAGAAGTATCTGAAGGTTTGGTATACTCGAACAAAGATAAGGTTCTGCGGCTTGGGGCTACAGGTTTTCAGGTTTCGCAGTTACGGGGCTTTGGCGATGGTTAATTTCAGGGCCCTTTTTTAAAGAAATGGTTCCAGTTTCTTAGGGTATAGTCTAACCTCAGCCATGGTGGCCACGCTCAGTTGAGTTTGAGATCCCGAGCGTGAAAATAACAAGGTGTCCTTCTTGCGCAACTCGGTGAGCTGATCTTTCGACTTGTCCAGCATGTCCTTGTCAGGGTCTAGCGAGGCTGGACTACTTCTTTCTGCTATGTTCTGCTCTGCCAAAATGTGACGCTCTCTAAAAGATCTGTTACCTTCGGGTAAACTCTCGAAGTGCTACGGTCATTGCGATCATCACTCTGATTGCTAGACGCGATGTTTGCAAAACTAGTAGTTCACAGGGGCTTCCGGTTCGTGGGGGTACTCTGCCGCATCGATGCCGATGACTTGCGAAGAAAAATACCTCAGGGCCCGGCAGCACCAGTTCCATTCCAAGCTGGGACGTCGATGGTTCAGGGTTTATAAGGGCTTGCGGATCTGACGGTCTGGCCGTTCGGGTGGACTGCTGGGCTCTGGCTACAGGAACAGAGCGAAGCATAACATCACCAGCACACAAGGGCTCACACGAGATTCATGAAAGCCACATGGCAACAACTCGCGTACCTTCGAACCCCGATTGCCAGACCCTTATACCCTAAACCCTCGCATAAACGTTCCATCTCCCGATCCCCAATCCCTGAACTCAAGGGACTAATTAATGGAGGGACCATCAAAGGGACCCTTGGGGTTAGATAGGGTATATAAGGCTATATAGGGTAATAGGATCAGGGGTCCCTTCTAGGGGTCCCTCCTATTGTCCCTTAATGAACCCTTGCACCTTACGCCCTAAATCCTAACGGTTCTCCTCCAGCATTTCGGTGACGCCACCGGTCTTGGACACATAGGTCGCCGGCTCGGGCGCCTGAGTTTAGGGTTGCACCTTGAAGCCTTTAAGGAAAACAAACCGTGTCCTGTACATGAGCGTTTATACTACAGCCCGGCCTGTGAATAGGAATCCCCTTACAGAAGGTACCTTGACCGGCCTATTCTCCATTAAAGCAAACAAGCCTTAGCCCACACCCAAAATCCCTCGTCATGGGAACTCTGTAATAAATCCGACCCTAACCCCTAAACCCTAAACCCTAAACCCTAGACCCTAAACCCTAAACCCTAAACCCTAAAACCTTATAGCGAAACCTTGTCGAACCCCAGAGTTGGGCCGACAACCCAGCGCCTGGGCATTCTGGAGGAATGCCGTCAGAGTCTTGGCGTCCTTCTGCTGCGCCGAGGCAAGAGCTTTCGGGGCTTAGGGTTTAGTTAAAGGGTTTGGGGGTGTAGGGTTTAGGGGCGTTTAAGGTTTAGAAGTTTAGAAGTTTAGGGACGGTTTAGGGACGGTTTAGGGGTTAAGGGTTTCGGGTTTAAGCGACTAGTTTATAGAAGTTTATAGGAGCAAAGCCCATCCTGGTGGCCGATCACGGAGGCGTCCATCATGGCCTGCACCGCCTTTCGAAAGCGACGGGGTCCACTGGGCCACCCTCACACCCCAACACTCTGACACTGCAGGAATGCAAAAGCTTATGACTGAATCCTTACAAAAAGCCATACAAGAGCCTCTGAAGAAACAGCCTGAAATCCCCAAACCCTAAACCCTAAACCCAAACCCCTAAACCCTGAAATAGCTCCCTCCCACACTGTCGGCCTGGATGAGGCTTCCGGCACCCTTCACCTGCGAGCTCCAAACTGAAATTGGGAGTGTACCAGAATGTAACTAAGCAGGCTCTACAGGGATTAGGGTTTAGGGTTTAGGGTGTTTCCTCTGCTACTCTGAAAAGTTCAGGGGTTTTCGAGCCTAGGAATGTCGACATTTTCGAGTTCAGGTGTTTTTGAACTTAGAACTCCGATTTCGGCTTGACTCCACCGTGGGCTTCAGCGTCGGGAAGTATTGAAGCTATGCCACAATTGCCCAAAACCCTAAGTCGTAGGTCCTTATATGTAAGCACCAGTCGGAAGATCCTGCAAAGCGTACCCAGCTCACCACTACTCACCGCAAGCCCTAGACCCGTTGAACCTCAAGAACCCAAGACCTTTGAAGCTCTGAGCTCTAAGCCTAAAGCTCTAAACCCTAAGTTCAAACGCCACATCCTACAACCGCACGCCCTGAAGCCGCGATCTCGGGCAGCCTAAACGGAGCTACCCGATCCGGAAGTCCTTAACCCAACAGTCCCAAATCCCAAAAAACCTCGAACACCAAATCCGGAGGGGTCAGAACCCCAAACCCTTTTAAGGCAGTGTGAGAAAGGCTGTTCAAACAGGTTCAACAGATGTGCTAAAACTTACAAACTGGTAAACAAAAACAGCCATACCCGGTGCCTGCACCAACGACTCGCCTTTGGCTTCCTTCTTCTCCTCGGAACATCCGCAGGGCTTTGTTTGGAGGCTCATGGGACCTACTAAGAGGTGTTAGACCCCAATCCCTAAACCCTAACCCGTAAACCCTAAACCCGAATTTCTGAATCCTTTTCAGCATGGGCTTGGATTGTGTGCCAGCGAACACACCTCAACAGCAGGGCCTTCTCGAACCCTAACCCATAAACCCCAACCCATAAGCCCTGAAACCTAACCCCTAAATGAGCTCCCGCGTCGCAAGCCACGGGTCTCCAAGTGTTGCGGCTGGGGTGTGGAATTTGGGTTCCCGTGGCCTTGAAAGTTCCGGGTGCACGTACCTTAACACCCAAGTGCCTGCCTCTCTCTAAAAAAAGATGGGTTGTCTAGGGTTAAGGTAGGAGCCTGGGTTCAAAGTAGTATAGGGTCTTTGAGGGGTAGGGTTTCAGGGTTTTGCGCGAAGCTTCTCGGGGCCTTCAGGGCTTCAATTGAGTGGAGTCACAGGGCTTCGGTTTAGAATTTTCGTGTTTGCTCCAAGGGTCTCTTGAAGTTTGTTGCATTGCTGGACCCCGAAAAGCTTGAAACACGAAACCCCATACCGTCAACTCAGGCGAAACCCGGGCGCCAGCATGGACATCGCGCGCTCCACGGTAGCCGTGGTCTCCAGGAGGTCTTTCTCAGCAGCCTGCAAGGCCGAACCCGGACCCGATGGAAACCTCGCTGCCCTGGCTCTGGTAGGACCTTAAGAGCCCAAGGTGCCAAGCCCAAAAAGTAAAAAGAGCCAAAGGCTCCAAGCCCAAAAAGAGCCAAAGGTTCCAAGCACGAAAAAGCCAAAGGTTCCAAGCAAAAAGAGCCAAAGGCTCCAAGCCCAAAAAGAGCCAAAGGTTCCAAGCCCAAAAAG